TCAGACAAGGTTGGATGGAGGATGTCTGGAAGTGATTTATGAACAGTCCTAATTAACCTGTTTGCCTTTGCTCACTGAATTAGACCACTTCACCTTCAGTTATTTGTTTGCCAATGTGAGGCAGAGACGAGCGTGTTAAACCTTTTTTTAGTTGCGAGTGAATGTAAGGCCACGTCGATGGTTAGAGTTATGCTGTTATTCTGGTTTCAGAAATATATCGCAGTGAAGCATGTGTTGCATGTTAAAACACACAGTACCTTTTTTTTTTTTTTTTTTTTTTTTTTTTAAACCATATTGCATTCTCTTACCATGTGAATAACAGCTGAAAAACCGGATTAGGCCATGTGGGTTTCAGATTATATAGGAGCAGCGGGAACACCAAGTTTTTGCAAAGCATTTGTGTAGCTTGCGGCAAGCTTCGTGCAGCCTTCTTGAAGCCTTTAAAGCACCCCTCAGCTCCATTTTGGGAATGTTAAACATAGACCTTTAGGCCACACTCGCACCTATATCTTTAGTTGCAATTGGGGATACCTGCATCAAGAACTTACGATTGATGTATCCAGGGATAGTGATTTGATTCTTAACTACCTAATCACATATGATTACATGTAGTCTGCCAGCATTCAAGTGCAGCGACTGACACCCGATTATTAGCTTCAATGAGTGACAGTTGTATTATATATACACTGTTTCACGATTGCTTGACACGGAGGTGACACCATATGATCCTTACCGTTATCTAATTTCCTGAAGGGCATTTAGTGCTGTACACTTCATTACACCATTATTCTGTAGGCTTTTAGCCTGAGTTCAGCAGCTTTTTTCCTTTTTGGTTTTAGAAATGTTAGCTCAAGGGGTTAATATTTATTTTAAATTTTAATCCATCTTAATTTAGTTTTACTATTTCCGTTAGCGCAAGTTAGTTTGGTTCACATTGAGTGACAGTTGCTGGGTGTAAGTGGCAGTTTAGGGATTCCCTCTAGGGGAAATGCAAGTTCCTGACACAGGAATCCCTAATCGCACCTAAAGATATGGCTGTGAATGGGGTCTAAAGAGGAACTTTATCCTTTTTTATTTAAAATGACAACAAAGGTACCTTTTGGAAATGTTTAGCAATGACAATCTACAAACAGATACTTATAACATACTTAATTTTTGTTTTCCTCCCCATTCTTCTCACAGTGGCCATTTACTAAGGGCAGATTAATCCATCTCCTTTACTTCCTGGAATCTGACACATGTGACTAGTGACCATGCACATTATCTCGGGGGGAAATGCCTTTCCCTTAGATCTCATGATATTTCTCAGCAATGCGATGTAACCTTCCCAGGATGCATCTCTTAGGCATGGGCTACATCACTAGTGCCTAAGATGACCAAGAAGTTGTAAAACAGTAATTGTAAGTAAAAGCAAATTATGTTTGTTTGGCGAATGAAAGTAAGATGATTTCATATCAGCATGCAGAGTTGCATACTGATGTGATTTTTCGTGAAAGGGGGGAAAGGTTGCTTAAATGGAGGTATGAATGTCACTTTAAACAAGCTTTAAATTGCACCTTCACCCCCTTTGACTAAAGATCACAATAACATTCTGCTCTACACGCTGATCTGAAATTATCTCACATTCATTAGCTAAACAAACATATTTTTTTATTTTACTTACATTTTTTTTGTCCTAGTCACTTGTCCTAGTCACATGTGCCAGAGTTCCAGGAATAGGGCTAATAATCTGCCCTTTTGTTAAAATGGCCACTGCCAGAAGACTGGTTAAGAAAATAAGGTATGCATGCAAAGAATACAAAGCCTGCATCTAGAAGTATCTGTTTGTAGATTGTCATCACTAAACAGTTATAAATGTCTCTTTGTTATTTCTTTAACCCCTTCATGACTGAGGCTTTTTTTTTCATTTTTTGTACCCATGTTATATTACACATTTTAGGCCTGAAAATTACTTAAAACCCCCCAACATTATATATTTTCTGAATGCCAAGACCCTATAGAATAAAATGGTGGTAGTTGCAAATTTTTATGTTGCGCAATATTAGCACAACTCCTTATTAAACCCCAATATTTAGTGAAAAATTTAATTAAATGCCCCAAAACACAACAAAATACCCATTTTTTTTGATGAAATATAAAAGATGAGGTTACAGTATGGGGAAAAACACTGACCCCATAGTTCTCCTTTAAGTTGCACTGAAGCTTATTAAATCCTGCCAGCATCTTGTGTGAAGTGACAGTCAGCGCTCCCATTAAGATTTGTGTTTCAAAAGCTTTCCAAAAGATCTGCAAATGCTTTGTACAAGGTCCCTGTGCACACTGCTCTTATACAAACCGAAGCCTGTGTGAACTAGGCCTTAAAGTTTTTTATTGCAATTTTGGTAAAAGTACAAAAAGTGATTATCCTATATTAAGATTATAGAAACTACACTTCCGTTCTTTTTATATTTTTATCATCATCATCTTGAGGTCTAGTGACCTAAAACTAAATGTGTACTTGTTTTTTTGCACAGCTTCATTAAAAAAATATTTTCTAGAGACATCATCTCTTTCTTGTTATGAATTAAAAAAAAACTACCCCAATGCGCTTCTGTGCCGCCTCATGTGACTTAAAGCCTTGGTATTACAACACATGGCCTCTGGCTATCATAAGCACTGGATCTTTTGACTTTAGAGATTCTTGTTTTCAGTCAGATAGACCTTGTCTGGTTGATGTAGTGACTACAAACGCGACTAATCAGATTTATTTAGTCACATATGGGACTTCTACATAAACCTTTCCTGTTCCGTTTGACTTTTCTTTTATCACAGCTAGAGTTACATTATAATAAAGATGGCCATGCACTGGTTGGATTTCGGGTCCATCAGTGCACAGCCAACAAAAGCCTTTTAATTTATTTATTTTTGAGTTGACTTCTGTCAAAGGAGGTGGACTGAAAAGCCAATCGGCTGCAGTCACTGACCCGGTATTCTGACAACAACACACCCTTCGCTGTCAGACTACAGTGGCCCAGCGGGCCTTGGAGATCAACAAGAAAAAATGCCCAGTGTGATGCCATCTTGGCTCTGAGCCAGTCAGGCTGTATTGCTTTTTCATAGGAATGGCCTCATCAGTGGGCTTCTTCTATTTATTGTCCAGCCAGGAGTTGAGGAGCCTTCTCAATCAGGCTGTATTGCTTAGCTGCAGCTTGTTCTGTAGACTGGTCTGGTATGTGGTTGTGCTGGGTGGCAAGGGTGCCAGGATCACAAGACCTTGCTGAACAAAATATAAGATATGTAAAAATATAAATGCATATATTTAAAGCGCGTGTCAAGCTATGTCTTTAAAAAAAAATCCACATCTTTCCCAAAAAGCATCCTCCTCAGTCCTGCACCACTGGTCCCTTTCAGGCAGAATGATGTGCAGCATCTTTTAACCCACTATCTGTAAACAAAGTACATCATGGACAACACCTCCAGGGGATACTCCCACACTTCTGAGAGGTACAGCCAGAGTCTTATCAGTCATGCAGTGCCATCAAGGAGTGTGTGATTGGTCTTTCCATAAGTCACGTCCAATGTGAAGAGGCCCTGTCAAAGTATAATTCGTGTATCTCTACAATCAATCAATAGGATCAGTTCCTGTTATATGGAATAAACGGTATATTCTTTGATAGCCAATAATGACACCTGTTCTGGTGACGACTTTACAGGAGGTGATGCCCCGTTAGTTTCCAGAGTTTTCATCTAACCTCAGGATACCAATAGTATCAACTGGTCTGTTGTAGGGCTGCAGCTAATGATTATTTTCATAATTGATTAGTTAGCCAATTTATTAACATCGATTAATCTAATAAAATGCACAAATGCACCGTTTATAGACATAAAGTTTACTTCAGAATAAAAGGTATGCAAATTTTTTGAAATCGCACTCCACTGGAATGCAGGGCATTGCAGTTCCGTGCGTTCCAGTGCGGGCGATCACACTGCAGACAGGAGGTGCATTTGGGATCCATTGAAATGACTGGCACAGCAACGCTCCTCCTACAACAAAATTTGTCAGGCTGAAACTGAAAATGACTTTTCCCATTTTTTTTTTTTACTAATTGTATGTATTATATTAGACATTTTAATTCGTTTCATGGATTTAAATAATGTAAATGGTAAAACTCTTAGCCAATATAATACCCAACCTTTTATTTAAAATAACACACCCAAATGTTTTATTTTATTTTAGTTTTAACTTTATTTTTTTTCATTTTGTTTGCATTTTTTATTTTTATTTAACTTTAAAAAAAAAAATGTTTTATTCTTTTAAATTTTAGTTTATTACATTTTTTGTGTGCTTTTGGATATTTCAAATTGCATTAGTAGGCTGGCTGTTGAACCCGCCCACTGCCTGCTGTCAATCAGCAGAGGAGGGACCTGAAGGAGAAAATTGAATTTTAAAATGTCCAATAGCGGTAGTGGAGGCATGTGAGGCAGAGGAGGCACTGGGCGGCAGAGAAGGACCGGGACGGCAGCGGAGGAATACAGTCACAGCGGTCTCTCCTCCCTGCTGGTGCTGGCTGCAGTGGTCTGTGTCCCCACTGCCTCTGCTGATACAGGCATGGAGAGCAGTGGGGATCGAAAGGGAGATAGACCGCTACATCCAGTACCAGTTGGCAGGAGAACGGAGCAGCAGAGTGGCAGCAACTAATCTAAAAGCAACTAATCGATGATGAGAATCCTTGCCAACGATTCTCATTATCGATTATAATCCATTTAATCGATTTCGTTGTTGCAGCCCTGTTCTGTTGTAAGTATTGACAGATTCTGAATAAAAGTGCAAGAATGGGTGAACTGTGAACTTTTGTGTGTAAATGCCCTTTTATGTTTCCCATAAAATTTTAGACATGTAGGAGGAAAGGCTGTTGTACCATGCCACTCCTGTGTAGTCATGACTACAATCAGCAAGTCAAGTTTTTATGGTTCTTCCTTTGTGGGCTATTTTTATCTAACCTTTTCTCTGTCCTTTGTAGAAATGAAGACTTAAAACAGATGTTGGAAAGCAGCAAAGATTCATCCAAACTGGAGGCGATGAAAAGGATCATCGGGGTATGGTTAATTTTCACGTCAGTCCGCTACATCTGAACCCTATGGATGTGTGAACGTCATGCTGATTTAACTATTGTTTAAATGCCATTGTCCACATTTTCACAGAATATCGTGTATTTTCTTGTAGTGTTATACTGACTTTGCTGTTTTATGCTGTCTTGGCAAAAGCAAAGGAATTACTTTCCCAATACTGTGGGAGCAAAAGAGTTTCTTTAAAGCCTCCCCCTTTCAGGCCCCCCGCTTACCTGAAAGTGATATCCAATCACATAAGGTGATATACAGTCACTAATCTATGACTTGCTTCTTTTTTATGTTTTTCTAGATGATTTCAAATGGAAAAAATGCCTCTGAGCTGTTTCCTGCTGTTGTTAAAAATGTTGCCAGCAAAAATCTTGAGGTAAGCCAAATAAATGTAGTTTTGTTGTAGGCAGAACGACGGATCTTTTAGACTGCTTGATGCTTTATACTTTCTAAATATTGCTGCGTTAAGGAGCAGGAGGAACAGTAACGAGGAACCACGTCAGTTACTTGTTTATGAAACTTGTTTGTGGCATACCAGTCAGGGAAAATAATGTCACCAAGTGTCACAGACATCTTCATAACTTTCTTATTTCTTTTCGTTATAAGGAATAGTTCAGCCTCGGAATGCTTTTTTCCAATATACATTATGTGCATCGCTCCAATCAATCAAATATGTAAAACACTGGAAACGTCAATAATTATGTTCAAAACAATCAAACTTAATGTGCATCAACTTATGCATAAAATCACAATAAAATAACAAAAAAGGACAAGTACCTATTACCCATGTAAACAAAGTGCACCAAATAATGAACAGTCTTTGTCAGCTTTTCAGTGAACACATAATTCCACATTAGTGAGTAATATCCTGTGCTATTATAAACAGTCTTTATCACCTTTTCTGCAACTAAATATCCAGTGCAGATAATATTTATATAGACTCTGCCACCTCAGCGATCTTCAGGTGTACCCTCACCTTTTAAGATGGACCTAGGTTCATACACCAAAGGTCATGCAGAGCTCTTATGCAACCATCAGCTTTCCCCAAGACTCTCCCTCTGCTGGTTTCCTTTTATTCTCAGGCACTCTACCAATACAGTGCTGGATACATCTCAAAATAAAATAAAACAAACCTCCATAGTTTAACTTTGTATATTTATTATTAGAAGTAAGAAGAATGCACTCACATTAGGAGGGCAAATACACAGCGCATAGATATTGGCATGAACACAGCTAGCAGGATCTCTGGCGGCCACTCCGCCCAGTATAATGATGTCACAGCTCCTCCCACCTGACATGTATCACCCACAGGACTTTCTCAAGGGCTGGCTTTTTTCCAATGCTCATCCCACGGCTTGCAGATAGACTAAGCTACATTCATGTAATACAGACACACTGACTAGCTTGGTTTAGTCTGGTTTGTTAAGGCCAAGGTTTTAGGCTCCTCGCTGGTAAAGGTTTACCCGATGAATTGACAAAGCAGACCTTTTACCCCCTTTCACTAAATCCACATCAGTATACAGCTCTGCATGCTGATATGAAATCATTTTATATTCATTAGTTAAATAAACATATTTTTATTTTACTTACAGTTTCTTTTTTTCTACTTCCTGGTTGTCTTGGGCATTAGTGATGTAATGTGTCCAAGCATTGCATCCTGGGAAGACATCAGCAGAGCATTGCTTGGAAATCTCATCTGTGATCTCATGAGATCTCAGTAATTGGCATGTTCCTCCCCTGAAATGGTATGCATGGTCACATGTCCTAGTCACATGTGCCAGAGTTCCAGGAAGTAAAGGGAGCTATATTAATTTGCCCTCAGTAAAAATTACCACTGTGAGAAGAATGGGGAGGAAAAGAAAAGTACGGTATGCAAAGAATACAAAGCCGGCAATTATCTAGGACTATGTGTTTGTAGATTGTCTTTCCTAATCATTTCTGAAGGTGTCTTTGTTGTTATTTTGGAAGATATGGGTAAAGTTCCTCTTTAAGTTGCACTGAAGCTTCCTGAATCCTGCCAGCAGCTTGTGTAAAGTGACAGTCAACACTCCCATTAAGATTTGTGTTTACAAATTCCTAAACTGGAGCTGACGGGGAACAAAGCTCTGCAAATGCTCTGTAAAAGCTTCCTGTGCACACTGCTCTTATACAAACCGAAGCCTGTGTGAACTAGGCCTTAACGTTTTATTGCAATTTATTGCAATTTTGGTAAAAGTAAACAAAAGTGATTATCCCATAATAAGATTAGAGAAACTACAGTTATGTCATCTAAAAAACATTTTATTTCCTTGAAGCCAGTTTCTTTGAGTGCTTTGCGTTTTAGTATGCCTTTTTTTTTATGATGTATAAACTACATTTATTGTTATTATCATCATTAGGGATGTACCGATATTAGTAGAAGTCTGTGTTTGTAGATTGTCATTACTTTTCTAAAGGTGCCTTTGTTGTCATTTCACAGATATGAGTAAAGTTTCTAATTATGTTGGCTATAGGTGAAAGTAGGCTGTTATTTGAAGTTCACTGGTGAAGACATTAAACCAGTTATAAGGCGATTAGTTGTTCATATCAATATCTGCAAAATAATTGTACACAGTATGTAGAATAATTGATGAATATGAAAAGAATTAGGCTAAGTTCACACCTAGACGATTTATCGTGCAAAACACAGATTCCCATTGAAGTCAGTGGGGTCTGTTCACACTGTTGCGTTGTCGCGCTGCCAAAATCACCTAGCGTGCAAAAAGGTGTAGGAGCTATTTTCGGCAAGTAGTGGTCCTATAGCTCATCAGGTCAATCGCCTAGGTGTGAACCTAGCCCTAAATCTTTTTTCGTTCATTGGTGAGAGTAAATCGGAGAGAGATATGGTCTCTATTTGCAGCAATACACTTATTTATTCTGTAACACATTACATTGAAAATATTTTCAATGCTTTGCTATCACTAACATTTTATAAAGCACCAACTTATTCCACATCACTATACATCAGATAATTCATTGATGCAATTCCAAATTCTAAACAAACATGCCACAAAAATATACAGGGAGAAAAGTTCAATCCAAATGGTGGGGGAGTTTTTGATACAAAAGGCAAGGGAGAAGTGGCTCCAATAACTAAATTGTTCGAGGTGACTGACATGAGTGAATGACTAGGGTAGTGAGGTGTATGGATAGACCATTTTGAAGTTTTGGGGGTACTGTTTAAAACCCAATTCAAATTGGAAGGTCAGGGGAAACCTGATTTATGAATCGCTTTAACAGCAAATCACAGAAACAATGACTGCATTTTATTCCATGGATGTTTGGAGGCTGGTGAACATACTGGCACAGAATGGCAGAATATGTGGAGTAGAGGGAGAAAATATCTTGCCGCATTCAAAAGATTGGAGAGGTGAGAGGAAACCAGTCAGGAAGTTGTTGCAGCAGTAAAGACCAGGACTAAATCTTTAAATGGTTTTGTAGTTCGGTTTGTATGTATTTGGGAACTGTTGTAGATGTGAGAAACACTTTTTGAACCTGTTCACGCATTCGATTAATGTAGTGCAGAGGCGAAATGAATAGGACTGATAACACTGCACAGGACACCACTGGATTTCTGGCAAGATTAGCAAAGATCTCTTATTGAACAGATAAAACAAAGCACTTCCAATGCTATATTTAACGAAAAAAAAGTGAAGCAAATAAGAATAACCTATAAATATAAGTTTTAATTAGATAAGATGCGCTTTAACTGGTCAGCCATTACTGATATAGCACTATTTTCCTTTCTCTACAGGTATTGCCTAAATATGTTGCCAAGATTGGTAGCTTAAGGGCTTGTTCACACCATGTCCGGACCATAAAGTTTTTCATCTGCACCTAAAAATGCATTCCAGTGTATTCCTATGGTATTTCTGGGCTCTGTTCCGGTGCCGGGGGGAAAAATGCTGCATGGACCGCCCCTGAAAGTCCATTTTCAGGTTAAAAAAACAAACAAACAAAAATGCACTGGCATGCATAAAAAACGCACTGCATTGCGTTTGAGAAAAACGTCTATATCTGGTCTGGACATGATGCGAACAAGCCCTAAAAGTCAGATTCTTATACGTTATCAGAGAGCATCTTCCTTTTGTCCTGATCCTCTATTCAAAGCTGGCACCTTAGAGTAGGCATGAGTCCAGCTCATCACTGTGCACAGGCTAAAAAAGAAAAGAACTTGCATGCCTTTACATTATCATTATAACTGAATCAATCATCTACTACTAACAGTAGAGTTTAGTCCAAAAGGGAATGTTTACCAAATTACTGAGTTAAAATAAAAGTTTAAGTTTATATAAAATGATTTTTTGGGGGTTATATTGCTTTATTGTTTCTTGCTGTACCAAATAGATTGAAAACCCATCTGTAAGTTGGAAGCAAGCAGGAGTAGTAAAATAGCAGCGTAAGGAAAGACAGACAATGCTTTTGATTCGATAAGTGACCCTAAACGCAGGAGTTAAATCTTAAAAATGCATCCAAGTACCTTAAAAGAGAACTATGGGGTAACCTTTTTATCCCATAGTTCTCTTTAAGGTCACCAGAGGACATATACTAACCTCCTCCGGTGACCCAAAGCTCAGAATATAGTGTGCTATCGCCCGCGATATGCTGAGAGCGCCGCAGCCGGGACGGATCCCAACAACTGTCGTGATCCACCCAGCTGGCTGATTGACAGCGGGCTCTGCCTATCTAGAGGCCGAGCCACTGTACCTGCCGCCTCCCCCATCCATTCCTCCAGTCAGCGCTAGAGGATCGGAGAGGTGGGGGAATCCCTGCAGGGAGCCGAGTCGACGTGTGACAGTTTCAATGTCACATGTCGGCTCTAACTATGAGGATGAGTGGAAATCACTTGCCTCATAGTTCTCCTTTTAACTATTAACAAAGATGTATCGTATTTCTGTATCACTCGGCTGAAGATCCTCAAATCATCTCTGATTTGGTGCTGACACTGTCCTTCCTTCTGGAGGGTGGCTACTTTACAACACACACAGGGACCATGGGGAACAAAAGTAGCCACCCTCCAGAAGGAAGGACAGTGTCAGCACCAATTCAGAGATGGTTTGAGGATCTAGCCTACAGAGTGATACACAAATAGGATACATTTTTGTTAATAGGATAATTGAATGCATTTCTAAGATTTAACTCCTACGTTTAGTGTCACTTTAAAATAATACACTTTCTTCTTTTTCTTATACAATTGTGTACATAAATGTGTGTGCTAATATTACCTGAATGTGCATGTTTATACATGGATCACCCCTGACCCCAGCAAAATTAATATTTTTCTTGGTAGAAATGTAGAAATCAGCCAGAGATAATCCAAAATGTATCTTCTCCGCTTAGGTAAAGCTAACTGTAGATTAAAAAAGAAAAAAAAAAGTTTTTCTTCTGGTTTTTTTTGTGTTTCATGGTTCCCTTTGTTCCCTTGAGTGATCGCAAAGCGAAAAAAATAAAAATCATGGGTAAAAATCATTCGAGCACATTCCTTGTCCTTAATGATTTAAATGCTATTTATCAAACGCTGTCCTGTGAATTTCATATTTGGAGCCCAAGCTGCTCTAGTCCTTGTTGGGCTACGTACCAGATGTTAGCAGATGACAAAGGATGCAGAGTGTGACCCTGCATCGTGCTGGTGGTACAGACAAAAATCAAAGGTTTAGTCAATATGTCATGAAGTTTGATGTACTAGCATTGATAAACTAATTAAACAGACCTTCCTGTGTTGCCCGGGACTAATGCGGCCCCGTTGTGATTAGTTTCACAGCCAGGCATGTAGTACGGCTGAATGGCAGTAAGTGCAGAGAGAGTGGTGTAGTCACGCTTCTCTAAGCGCTCCCTTATCTGGGCTCAGAGTGGTTTCAAGCAAAGGAGCCATTCTCAGCAACCCGCTGCCGTTCAGTGCACAGGCCTCTTGTGGTCAGTATTGATTTGCTCTAATCTAAAGCAGAACAAGGACAAGTGTTGTATTTTGAAACCTTCTGTGATTTAATATTGTTATGTCTTTTGCCCCAGCAGCCACAAAAGTGCCTCTCTGGAGATTGAGAGTATATAATTTTGTTTTAAGTCAAAAGTTTGAAAATGTTCTGTGTTGACACGTTGAACACACAGAGCATTAAGACGGAGGCTCTTCTTAAGTGTTGATGTGGCCACCTGTTTTCCTCTTTATACCATTCAACAAATCAACGTGGATTTTTTTTTTTTTTTTTTACACTCCACTGAGCTCCACTTGAGATACGTTATTGCTGGTGTGTCGTTTTTAAAAAAAACAAACTTTTTTTGTCTGGGTAATTTAATTTTTGTTCTCCACATTTCTTAGATAAAAAAGCTGGTGTATGTTTACCTGGTACGGTATGCGGAGGAACAGCAAGACTTGGCTCTCTTATCTATTGCCACTTTTCAGCGTGGTTTAAAAGTAAGTTTCTTCTCTCCACCTCAAGCTAAATTTTAAGAAAATAAAATAATGTATATGATTCATCAACTAGAATGCATTGAATGTGCACTCAAGAAGACCCATAGGCTATAAAGGAACATTTAAGAATTTGTTGGTAGTGTTTATGTATAGTTACAAAAAGTTTACTTGCATATATCCCTGACGCATACATATACATATGCCAAGGAAAATCTTTACAAAATCTATCCAGCAAAAATCACATTATGTATGTTTGAATGTATGTTGGATACTGTAGATATACGGGGCTGTGCCTGTAATGAGGGAGTCGCCTCAGGTAGCATCTCAATCCTTTACGCCTCAGATTATACTATATGTGCTTTAACCCCTCAATGTATATGCAGTTACATCTCAGTCATCAAACTTATGCATATACACATTAACTCTGTAGTGCTGTGCCTTCAATTCGATGTATAAAAAGTTAGTGACCAGTTTCCAAACTGCAGACTGAAGTGAATGCTGGTGAAGTAAAGAACCAACCAGTAGGGGGGGTGCTAAATGTATGTGATTCATCAACTAGAATTAATTATTTACTTGCATATAACACACACACACACACACACACACACACACACACACACACACACACCAAAAGTCGCATTACATGTGTTTGTATGTATGTTGTGTACTGTATATATACAGAGCGGTCCCCATAATGAGTCTGTCACCTCTGGCAGCATCTCATTGGGGGGCAGCAGGTGTGTGGGGGTCGGCAGATGGGCAACCATCGTTGCTAAGAGCTCTTAATAACCTGTGACACTCTGTCCGGCTTCCCGCCTTGCTGACTGATGCCATTGGTTGGCATTGAGTTGAGCAGGACACTATGGGTGGCAAACAGTGAAGTTAGTGAGCTGGCCGTGACCGGTCAGAGAGCTGCTGACAGCACGGCTCTAACACAGCTGCCCGTCCTACCGCATCCACAAAGCCCTAAGGCCCTGCTCACACCAGGGCGATTTGGCTGCGCGGATTTGCCAACATAAACGATGCAATCCGAACTGCCTCCAGCTCGAAGGCCCTTTTTTGCCACGCTGATCAGCGTGGTTTCCATACTGCTTTCAATGGAGCCGCGCAGTTATGGGCGTTTTTAATTGCGTTTCAGCGCTGAAACGCAATTAACACCCAAAACCGCCCTTTTAAAATCCGGGCAGAAACCGCGCTGTTCCGCAACCGCCCTGGTGTGAATGGGACCTAACAGCAGCATCCCCCTCATACACTGGGGACTAATGGGGTTAATGTACATATTCTATGCGCTAAGCACTGAAGGGTTAATGACCATTCGCAGGAGATTGTCCACTGTGTGGTTAAGAGAATGGTCACTGAGGGGTTAACAGGCACTCTCTAAAGACTGGTCTCTTATTATTGAAGGGTTTATGCACATACACTGCTGGTTTAGAAACTGTTTAGTGAGTTCTGCATAATGGAGGCGTGAAAAAGCGCGTTTGTGTGTGCTTGGTGTACAAAAGTTAAAAGCCTGTTCTTTGCGCTAGGAGTGGGGTCTCACTGGTAGTTCTTTTTTAGCTAAATTCATCACCTGGAGGCAGAATCACCTAGTGGAATGCTGAAAGTGACCGTTTGACTTTAACACTATATTGCGGGGTAGGCAACCTCGGCGCTCCAGCTGTGGTGAACATGGTCATTTTGCAGTCTTGATCAGTCAATCTAAGAGGCATATAAAGACAGAGACTTTGTTCACACCAGAAATGCAAGTGTTAACGCAAGTTGTACTGTTGTGCTTTGAATTGTAAGCCCTCAGGGGCAGGGCCCTCCTTACCATCTTGTCTTGATTTTGTATTGTGATTGTAATGTCTTCCTTATATTGTAAAGCGCTGTGCAAACTGTTGGCGCTATATAAATACTGTATAATAATACTAATAATTGTGTGCTGTATTAATGTGTAATTAATGGTTTCCTTAATCTGAATGACAAAGTGAAGGTCCGTGCAACCAAAAACGCAGCATGCAGGACTTTTTCCCACTGAAGAACAACACATTGCTATGAACCGGTCATAAGAAAACATTTGCATTTTGGTGCATTTGAAAATGCAGCTAAATGCACGACAACTCATTTTGAGTGAACAAGCCCTAAGGGTCCATTCAAACTATTGTTGCATTTTTATGGTGCACTGTGCTAAGGCAGCCCATCAATTTTGCGTGGGTTAGCAGCACATCATAATGCACAACAAATACACCTGCAGCATTTTGTGCAACATAGCTCACCACAATGCAGTTACCGTACATGCTGTAGGTAAATAATCCTTGTAATGCGGGCAATATTTCGTAGGTTTAATGCACACACACATTTGTTTGTTTTAGGTAAGGTGTGCAGTATGCAGCTCTCAGAGTGGTATTCACATTTGTTTGTAAGTCTTTATAAATTTGCTGTCTTTCTAATATTTACAGTTTTTTATTTTATTTTTTGCAGGATCCCAACCAGCTGATTCGTGCAAGTGCACTGAGAGTCCTATCCAGTATCCGTGTGCCAATTATTGTCCCAATAATGATGCTGGCTATAAAAGAGTCTGCGGCAGACTTGTCCCCATATGTACGGAAGACAGCAGCACATGCCATTCAGAAGCTTTATAGGTATGATGGCCCCACTCCTTGACTAGACATGATGCTTAGCTGTTTCAGCTTGGATACACATCATACCGTAATAGCTTTATGCTTGTATTGTGACTTGAGTCTTGTGATCATGTCTCAGTTTCTAGCTTCCTTCGTAGCTCTGATAAAGTTCTACTAAAGTTTGAACTGCACTAATTCTAAAACCTGGAAATGTTCATTAAAGAAGAACTCTCCCAGTAATGCTTAAACATCTGTCATTCTAGAAATACAGTTGCCTGGCTGTGTTAGGTTCTGTAAGTTTGAGTTTGATTTAATTTGAAACTGGTAGCAAAAATGTAAAGGAATTTTAGGAAAACCTCTTTCTGTCAGGAAAAAAACCACTGGTTCTAGTCTTTCTCTAGTCTTTCTTTCTTTGGGGGTAAGTGTTTTTCCCCCATAGTTCTCTTAAGGGTCACGGTAGGACATATACTAGCGTCCTCTCGTGACTCAAAGTTCAGTATATCGCGAGCTACAGCTCGCGGTATACTGAGACCGCTGCAGCCGGGATGGATCCCGACATTACTGTCGAGATCCACCCAGCTGCCTGAGTGACAGCTGGCTCTGCTTATCTAGAGGCAGAGCCAGCTGTATCCACCCCCTCCCCCGTCCGTTCCTCCACTAGGCACTGGAGGATCGGAGAGGGCAGGGGGAATCCCTGCAGGGAGCAGTGAGTGACGGTCACGACTCTCTGCAGGGATATGATCGAGAAGTGAGCGAGCGACGGTATGTGTTCGCTCACTTCCCGATCTATTGAGCCGTCGTTTGACCGTTTCACTGTCACACGTCGGCTCCAACTATGAGGATGAGTGATTTTCACTCACCTCATAGTTCTCCTTTTAAGTTCTGCTGTAAAAAAATATGAAGCTCTCTGTCAGCACTGACCATAAACTTGTCACTCGTGTGCACATGATCAGATGTGTCCACCATGGGGTTGCCACCTGTCCCGGATTCAGCTGGACAGTCCAGGTTTTGAGTCCTGTATGCGCTGTCTCTGGATTTCAGCTGGCCTGAAACCCGGAAACAGCACATACAGGACTCAAACACCGGACTGTCCAGCTGAATCCGGGACAGGTTACCACCCTAGTCCACCACCACATGTTGATTTCAGACTTAACAGAATGTCAGACTTTAGTAGCATTAACCCAAGTCAGTATGCACTTTTGGTAAGTCTTTCTTGTGAAGAAACCCACTGTCTCTCCAACAAGTGTTCTCTGATGTGTGCCCAGGGTAAGATGGTATTTGGAAAACATGGGTACATGCAAAATAAGCAGAGTGCCATCTAAAATACTTGCACAATATACCTAGAGCTCCCACAGCCCCACAAAATTCAAGACCATGCATAGTCATTTTTTGGGGATAGAGAAGAAAAAGGCTTAAGCTCTGCTAATTAATATTTTGGGAAATTTCCCTTTATTCCCCAGTCATGCAACAGGAAGTTAGAGGGAATCTGCTGAAGTCAAGAGAATTGCTCTCCACGGGAAAGGTGTTCCCATTAGAAGGTTTCCCTTTTCCTCTTATTCTGAGGACAACTCTTACATTTTTAATTCCCCCTCACTTTTTTTCTTTTCATGTGACAATCGTCACTAGTACAAATAGAGGGGTGAATCTCCCCAGTGGGCACAGGGATGAACAGCAATACAAACTTAAGTGGTCTAACCCTTCCTACTCTGTCCAAAACTAAATTTAAAAAAAAAATACATAGAGATACACTTTCAGTCTATTAGTTGATTTGAATGTTATTGGCCCTTTCAGAAGCAGGGACAAAATGGTCAGTCTATATTTAGAGATGAATGATTCTCCCATTATAATCTAGTTTATTTTAGAGCAGAGGTCCTCTTAAATGATATTATGGCTGAAACCTTTGTTTACAAAGTGTTTGGTTTTTTTCGGCCCTTGAATCCTAATCCAGGCTGCAAACCTCATACTGATCACTTTACTCTTGCTGAGGTGCAGTCATCTCAGTAGTGTTATATTTATACATCGATGTCCAGTTATGTTGTGAAATGTATTTTGATAGAAGTAAATTCCAAGGCTTTGTATTTTAAATCAATTTCAGCTTCCTGTATTGACAGCTAATGCATAGGTAGCAAGGGAAGGTCGGTAGCCACTGTGTGGAGAAGGCCCTGTGAGTTAGAACAGTGTAGTTACTGATAAGCCTCCGTCTCTCATCCACAGCAATGTTACATTTACCAACTGTGGAGTGGTTAGTTCTGAGCTTGTTTTCCTGAATCCCTTCTCCAGATTAGTACTTGTATTACCACTCTGCAGCCAGAGAGTTTAGCAGGAGCCATTCCCTTGAACAGAACATGTGGGACATATTCAGAACATTTGTCCTGCTGCATTGTATGGCATTCTTTAGTTGCCAACAGGTCTGCATGAAATGTATTTGATGACTTAGAGGAAGGAGATATGTGGCAACCTTTTCGCTTGGCTGTGAAATCACTCTTGGGTTTGGGGGCCTACCAGATAGTAAAAATACATTTTTGGGAACAAATAAAATTGGTGCTGTCTTGTGAAGGTGCCTGCTATAAAATAATACAATTCCTATATTATCATATGAGGCAGTGTAACATTAAGAGAGATATTGAATGAATATAGCATTTGGCTTTGCATAATTTTAAGCCCTCAGACCATGTGACGGCTCCAACTGCAACCACTACATTTTTATTTTATTTTATGAACTGATCTGTTAAGCTTTATTGTGATTCTACGTTGAATAAGTACAGCCATTACATTAAGGCTAGGCAACTCTAGAGTTGGAGATCTACCTGAAAAACATGGAAAAGATCAAAGATCTCCGGGGTGCAGCGCATAGTGCAGGGGTCAGGAGTAAGTACCCGCAAACAGAGTGCAGGGGTCAGTACCACTACACAAACATCCTAACGACCCCAACTTCCTCTTCCAGAAATGTATTTACCAGACTTTGTAGAACAGGTGTATTTGTTCCACTTCTGATTACTCTGCTTTATTTTTCTAGACTTGATCCAGAGCAGAAGGACATGCTCATTGAAGTAATTGAGAAGCTACTTAAAGATAAAAGCACAGTAAGTTGATTTATGCACTTTTGCTTTATTTAGTGCAGACTTGCTTTAGAACTGATATTTTAAATGCCAGCATGCTAAAGTGTTTATTTTTTATTTTTTTAAGTGTGCTCCTTAGTAAATCCAGTGTATCATTTTTTTTCAGAATTGTAACTCACCTATTCAAATGTAACATGCCTGCAGACATGCTGCAATGGCAGTAAATTGGTGCTTTCACTAATTATATGGAATTATTTTGAAATTATTTATATATGTGTTACTGATATACTCATAGATCATTACTGTATGGAACAACCATAATACTTGTGAAACTGAACAAAGTACCTAATCTTCTGTGGTTCATCTCATAAAGTCAGATCCGTTTTAAAGTTCATCACCCCAGGTGTCTCAAATGCTGGGGTATTCTGATTTACACATCAACTATGCACCCTGGTTTGATTACCTGACCTGTCCCCTCAACCCTAAAAGAACAAATTTACTCATAGTAAACCTCTACATTAATGAATTCCCCCACCCCCCCAGAGTGCTGTACTAAATATCTACCTTACACCCCAATGCAGTGATCTTCAATATGCAATTATCCTATCTGGCTTCTCTTTAGTGCGCATGCTTTACCCCCATTTATTTCTATGGGTGACGCTGTTTCTTGGTACAACTGGACTATGGCTCATCCATAGGAATAATTGGGAACGGTTGCATGCGCAAAAAAAGGAGGAACCAGCAGGATTATTTTTGCAAGAAAGATCGCTGGAGCAGGGAGGAAGGATAGTATTTAACACGACATTCTGCATTTAGGTGGGTGTGTGGGGGAAATATTAAAGTACATTGGTGGACTATAATGATCACAATTTTCCCACCACTATATTGGTTGGTCTCATTGGCCAATTGCGAGACTTGGAAAGTGGGATTAACTAGAGTGAAGCTCTCATCCCAGGAGTTTGGATCGATATGTGTGTGTCACGACTGTACAAGGGATTGCAGACATCTAACATACTGTAATATATTTCTGTGATATTTTTGTGTTAAGCCCATTTCCACCTTTTCAGAGGTATTTTTTATAAAAACATGTCAACAATGTACACAGTGCACATGAAACCTGCAAATGCAGTTGATGTATATGAAAGCCGAAACTTAATTTTTTTTTATTAGCTTTCCTCTTTATATCCGCATGGAAATTTCTGCCTCTGTGCTATGCCAGCAATGGGAAAATAACCCCCACCAGACACCCCCCGGACAGTGTATTGTGTCTAAAGGCACAGCTAGTGTTTAGTGATCGTGTTACAATGGGTGACGGGGAGGGGGAGAGCGGTCTAAAGCCTAACTACCATCCAACCCTGGTGTCCGACTGAATTTCCTGTGGAGAACATTTTCGATCTGTAGGTTTCAGGCCTAATAATGTTAATTAGAAAAATGAAGGAAGCCTGCAATGTGAGTCATGAAGATGTGCACATGTATACATCATCACTGCACCTCTACATTACCACAATAAATGCCAATCACTTACAAAGGTGGAAATGGACGTTAGGGTTTATACTGCTTTCAAATAAGGTATAGGCATTTGCACAAATAAGATGTACTGAATTAAAACTATAAAACATATACATAGAGTTATAAATGTGGGCATATGTACAGAAGAAACTAAGGAATCCAGCCACACATATGCAGTCAAACCAAAACTTTTAGGTATGTACACATTTTCAATTAGTTAACTCTTTGGCTTCCAAATGGGAAATATGAGCTAAAGTAATTTTCCCAATAATATTGCCATTAAATAAATATATAACTATTAGGTATGATCATGCCATAACAGCTGTTGAGCCGCAGAGTGAACTTAATGTGCAGGCTATACGCCTGCTGTGTGCTGATATTGGGAGATGGCTTTGTTTGCACTTCAGAAAAAACAAAACAGTCCCAGTGTTCCCATGCTCATTCCCACCAGAACTGTTTTATGCATTCTCTGAATGTGTGACAGATTCAGATTACGCATTCTTGTGAATGAGCATCACTTGCTAATGTGTGTGTCAGTGTCACACTGTAAACATGTGACCACAAAGAAAATTGTGTCACCACAAATACATTTGACCATTTAAAAAAAATTTTTTTTTACTGTGTGGTCTCAAAATTCCTTAAAGTTATCATTGTCTTTATCTCAGAATTAAAGGGAAAATGTGGTCTACTAATAAAGGGAGAAATCTCTCCATCCACTAAGTATCCAACTAAGAAGTAAATCTGCACAAGCTTTAAAATACTAAAATGTAATGGAATTGTATAGAAGTGCATTTGGAGATGACGTAATAATGGGAAGGTAAAATGTTCTGTGGCACAGCCTTCTAATGGAATTCTTTACATTTTGTAGCTCTTTTGTTGTAGGTCTGGTGTTTCTTTAATAGTAGTCTGTGATTTTTCCCTTCAGTGAATATGTGAAAATGTAGTTGTGCCACGGGGCGGAACCTAGTGTAATTCAGTGAAGCATTAGGTGCCGTCAGAGGTTACGTCAAAGACTTCCTCCTGAGTCATACTGTAGTGAGCAATAATGTAATAAGGTTCCTTCTTATGCTAGCCACACACAGAGTTTGGTATGATTTGTATTCCGGAGTAAAAAATAACAAACTGGTCTTTGATATGTGGAAAGAAATGGAATCTGTGTTTTTGGTTTTTATTGCTGCCCATGTCTTCCCAATAATAATGGTCACAAGAATGGGAAGTGAGTGGAAATTACGCTCCGTTCCTGAGTGGTTGCTAGAACAGGGAATGAGTGGACATTTCTCCCGTGGTGTGACTGGAGTAAAGCTGTCCATACACTGTTCTATTTTTTTTTTTTAATAGAACAGTGTATGACCAGCTTTACTTCAGCCAATTTTATTTTTGAAAAATAGCACAGATTCCTCCATCAATGCTATATGAGCTTTGATCAAGGAATCCTTGCTTTTTCTTTTGTATTCTGACAGTGGCCACTGGCCACTGTCAGAATGCCTGAATAGATCCGGCAGCTCGTTGACGGCTTTGTGAACGCAGAGTTTCCGGCCAGCTCCTTCAATCAGCTGAGCAAGGGATGCCGGCTGTAAGGGTGCCGACAGCTGCACCCATGGGGCAAATTTCTGGGCACCCACTGTACTAATTTTTAAAGATTTGCAAAATGTATGGCCAGCTTTACAGTAGGAACGTTCAACCACACCCTGAAAATGTGTACAGAGTGTAATTCATAGAAAGTGTTTATACAGCTACAACAAAATATTTGACTTCTTCCGGTAGCTGCAATTTGGTTCACTTCCATTTTTTTTATGCTTGTCATTTGACAAAGGGAAATCCATGCTTTTCTTTTTCTTGTGTGTGCTAATGTTACAGCATCTGGTAGATAGTATAGGGGGTCACTGAGCTGAATTACTCAAATGCATGCTTTTTAAAGCAGACCTTCATGCAAGGTTCTCTTATCCTTTTAGGCTTCATTCACACTTGCATCTTTATGTCCCAGTTATGAATGAATGGAAAGTGATTTAAATCACTTCCTGTTCATTCCTGATTGTGGACATAGTAACTTACACTATATCCACAATGTATGAATGAACAGGAACACTCAGTATAGAGGCTTCCTGTTTATTCATAACATGGGCTTCAGAAAAAGAGATTGAGGACTTTGTGTCCTCAATCTCTTTTTCTGTTTTAAAAGGGAAACATCAGGGGTCTGTTTAGACAGTTTGGCTCACACTTTTCCTGAAGAAGGGACCTAAATGGTTCCGAAATGTCACTATACAATGTGAAATCTCTTGTCAATAAAGAACATTGACAGAAAATCTTATTGGAGTGTGAGTGACTTTCTACTAGGCTGTTCTGATCTGCAGGGGCTTCTGCTGTCATCTCACCACCCACCCATTACCTTGGGATACATCCGGTCAGAAATACGATGGGATCTACTTAAGTTACTTTATGCAGAGATCTGTCTGCAAAATCTGTTTTAAAATGATGCACGTTTACACGCATATGCATTTAGATAAGGCATGCACAGAAATTTCGGCAGAAAAATTTCACTTTTGGTAAAATGCCGAAAGTACCATGACGGCCAAAAATGCAGCCAAAAATTCAGCGTATCCCTAGCTTCTCTCCTCCCTACAGGGTGCCGGTCTGTGTGCCTCCTGATGCAGGGGCCAGCGGTGCCCAACGTGGAGGAGAGAAGCTTCCAGGAGGCTAAGCGGGTGGTGACAGCGTTCAGGAAGCTGAGCGGTATGGTGACAGATGTCATCATTACAGGAGGCCAAGCTCTCCTTCCGCACCTCCCGGCCTGGCCTCCTTTATCAGGATGGAGAGCGGTGAGTGGAGGAGATCGCTGTGATCGGTCACATAAGGCAGAGCTCTTCTCTCCCCACTACCCTTTAGGCGGCTTATTCGGGATGGAGAGCGGTATACAAACAGTCAGCGACCATCAATAAAATAAGTGCTCTAAATCACTTCCTGTTCATCCATGATTGTGGACATAGCAACTTAAACTATATCCACAATGTATGAGTGAACAGGATCACTCATTATAGGGGCCTCCTGTTCATTCATAACAGGGGCTGCAGAAAAAGAGATTAAGGACTTTGTTTAGACCCCAGATATTTCTATAGAGCCTCCAGCAGTAAAGTTAAAAAAAAAAAATGGTTAAAGAATTTACATGTTTTAAAAAAGGTTGGAAAGATCCCATAATTTTCGGTTTTAGCCTGAAAATTTTTTTATTTTCAGTTTCAAAATTCTGTTTAGATGCATCCGTACTTTGTCCATTGAAACAGTCCATTGAAGTAGCCAATGAGATGTCAGCAAATAAACACGTCTTGAATTTACATGCGTCTTCATGCTTCAAATCAATGTCTGGATATACCTGACTTCTATTTTTCCTAAATACAGCTAAACTGACTGCAGATAAAAGCATCTAAACGCAAGGTGTGAAAAGATCCATTAGAAATCATTAGATGCATGCATGAAAATATATACAGGTGAAACTCGAATAATTAGAATATCGTGCAAAAGTA